AAGAAGGCTTCGGTACTTTTAGATGGTTTATATTATCCAAATGGGGTGCAGTTATCGAAGAAAAAGGACTCGCTACTAATTTCAGAAACAGTTAAAGAAAGAGTACTTAAGTAAGTTCAATTTCACATATCAGAAATTAATTAATATAAAATTAAATCTTTTCGTAGAAAAATTTCCATTAAAAAAAAACACAAAATTTTTCTATTACTCTAACTCCGGAGCAAGATGACCAATGTATTCTTATAGAAAATTGTATTGGATATACTGAGAAATGGTGTTGCAACATAGAAGATTCTATTCCCAATATTCTATTTACTTCTCGATTGATTTTTCCATACGCTAATTATAATTTATTACTATGTTTAAATTATCTTCTCTAATTATTAACTTAATTATTATAACTTTTTTTAAAAAACCTTCGAAGAATTCTTTGTTTCATTATTTTAGAATTATTTCTTATTCATTTTCTAAAAAAATTTCTTTCGCCTTTAATAAGAGAAAATATTAACTACTCGGCAGCTGAAGAGTATTAAATATCCTTCTATAATAAATTTATATATAATAATTTTAAAAATCGCAGAAGCAACGATTGTTTAATATTTTTAAACAAATATAAATTAAAACCTTTCCATTTTTAGGTATTATCTGAAAGGTGCGAAGAAAGGTCAATTGGAAGTACTGGTCGAATTTCCCGGAATGGTGGATAATGTAAGACCTAGTAAAAACGGTTATTGGATCGCTATTATTAACTTCAGAAACTCTTCAAAACCTGGAATAGTTGATCATCTGAACAAATATCCTTTGGTGAAGAAAGCGGCGGTAAGATACCTTCATTCGATCAGCAAACTTGTTGACTACGCTACAGGTTATTGGCCCGCCTTAAAAACTAAACAGTTGGAACGATTCGTAAGTGGTGTTTAAAATATTTCTTTATTTATAACTACAGGATGATCAAAAACTTACTGCGTATTTCTATAACAAAAAATATGACAATTCTGATTACCCCAATTTCCGCAACATCAAAGTATTTCGTAATATATAATAATTTATTAAAATTGAAACAAATAAGTAAATTGTTCGATATTAGTTATATTCACACACGCATATTTAAAATCATTAATTATAATTATTACAGAGTACAATTAAAGTTTCGATTTCACAATGGTCTGAAATAAGAAATACTACTCAAAATGACCCGACAGTTTGCATGAATGTCTGCATAGGAAAGGAATATTGTTTGCGGTGAAAAAATTTGCTTCAAAAATTTTCTTCTAGAACCTGTGATGCCTACTGGCAGATGTCATAAGATACAAATTTCTTATACGTCACATACACACATCACAAACATTTACAATATCACAAACACTATTGAAGCGGCTACTTCGCAAGCGTTTTGCAAATGACAGAATAATCAGCCGCCATTTTCCATTTAAGATAATAGAAATTCCCTTTCCGGATGATGGGCAAACATGGTTATCTATATCTATATCTATATCTATATCTATTCTATATCTATATCTATATACTATATAAAGAGACAACGTATTTTTCGTTTGTGACCACTAACCGTGAAAACTACTGAACCAATCGTTACCAAATTTTAACTGTAGCATCTTTATGACCCCAGGAATGTTTACCACTAATTAAACCTGCAGATTTTTTGTTAAACATTCATATAAATTAAAANATCAAAAACTTACTGCGTATTTCTATAACAAAAAATATGACAATTCTGATTACCCCAATTTCCGCAACACCAAAGTATTTCGTGATATTCAATAATTTATTAATACTTACCAAATCACTTATTTATTTATCAGATGTACAGAAGTGATTATAATTGAAGTTCGGATTTCGCAATGGTCTGAAATAAGTAATACTAGTCCAAATGACCCGACATTTTGCGTGAATTTGATTTAACGTTGAAAAAATTTGCTTCAAAAATTTTTCGCTAGAATCTGTGATACATACTGGCAGATGTCATAAGATACAAATTTCTTATACGTGATATGCACACGTCACAAATATTTACGATGTCACAAACACTAGTGAAGCGGCTACTTCGCAGGCATTATGCAAATGACGGAATAATCAGCCGCCATTTTCCTGTAACGTGGCCAGCATGTTCACCAGACCCGAACCCACGTGATTTTTGGCTTTGGAGAAATTTTTTATATTCCGTTTAATGAACACGTTACAAATTTAGCGGAACTAAAAGCCAGCATCACGCATCATATCCATATCTCTACAGAAACACTCGGATCTGTTGTTGAACATGCTATTTTGTGACTTTGGCTTGTTTCAGAATGCAAAGGACGTTCTAAATGTCTTTTACTTTTGTATTGCTTTCCACCCTGTCAATGCACGAATTGTCCCTCTCGCGGAGAGGTAAATTTTACATATGGGGCATTGGTGCTATTAAATTTTGGAGTACGGAACTTTAAGGAGTGGGGATATAGAGGAGGTTCATGGGTGATACTTCGGCTGGGACAAGACTTAATGAAAATTTTATTCGTTATTGGTATTTATAACTTAATTTAAAAAAACTCATTCCTACTTTCAAGATTAAATAATTTGCCTTCTAATAATTAATAATGTAAAAATTATTTTCTAATGAAATCTCGTAAGAAATGACGCCACACAGACCTTTAAACTTGAGCTAGTAACAGTTTTGTAAACTGATATAATTTTTAATAGATATTTTTATCATAATTTAACAAAATTACTCCTTTTAAGCCTTTATTATCGTTAAAATTTTATATTGCAGCGTAATTAAAACTTATCTTAACTTCCTGTTCGAATACCAGGAAAGTCGAGCGAAAGTCGTTTGATTCCTTCAGTGGTTTTCACAATATCCTGGGAAGTGGCAGTAAACTTCTAGAAATATCGTCAGATTTCCAGACACCTAAGAATTTACTTAAACATTAAACGAATTATTNAAACCTGCAGATTTTTTGTTAAACATTCATATAAATTAAAAGATATCATCTAGGGTTAAGGCTTTTATGTCCAACAGATGGCGCTACGCGTATGACGCCCTAAGTTTGCTTTTCTGTGAGGATGAACTAAAGTAGATCATCTTCTATCTATCTATATAAATAAAAATGTAATGTTCGTTTGTTCCTACCAATTCCTTTGAAATTTTCACACAATTCGAATACGCACGTGTTTTTATATAATAAACGTGTCGAAATTCCCTCCACTGGGGTGAGATGAACAGGATTAAGGCTTACCTTAAAGAACTCTGCTTCTATTTATACTATTTTAGATGCGGTTTTTTGCGTTTTTGATTGCGTTTTAATAGGGTACGCCAAGAGAATGTACACTAAGAAGAAATTTTTCGAAAACTCCCCCCCTCACACGGGGGAAGTGTTATACATTTATAATGGATACATTTTGAGCCACAACAACGCGTGGCGGGGTCTGCTAGTTGAATAGTAACTGCATTTTGAAAGTTGAAGAAGAGGTTTTGGGAAAAACTTCAAAGAGATCGCCAGAAAGAAAGGAATTTTGGTGGTGGAATGCTGATGTACAGTACAATCCGCAGTTAACCCTTTCCCCTCCCCGCAAAAGGATTTTTCCAAAATTTTCAAAAATTCCTTCTTAGTGTGCATTCCAATGACGTACCCTAACTGTGTATCAAATTTCAACTTTTAATTTCTAACTCTTTGGGTTCTGCGCTTATCATCAACTCATCTTGATTATATGATGCAATTTCATAACAGATAGCGCCACAAAGAACTTTAAACTCCGAGCTAGTAACAGTTTTGTAAACTGATATGATAAAAATATCCATTGAATTTTATAATTTAAGAAAAGTACTCCTTTTAAGCCTTTATTATCGTTAAAATTTTATATTGCAGCATAATTGAAACTTATCTTAACTTCCTGTTCGAATACCAGGAAAGTCGAGCGAAAGTCGTTTGATTCCTTCAGTGGTTTTCACAATATCCTGAGAAGTGGCAGAAAACTTCTATAAATATCGTTAGATTTCCAGACACCTAAGAATTTACTTAAACTTTAAACGAATGGCTGGGTTTGGGGAATCTTGTAGTATCCTAGAAACCTATTGCAATAACCTGGGATGATCGTAAAGTCACTCCACACTGCTACAATAACCCATACAATGTAGGTGCGCAGTAACTTTTCCATTACTTCAGTGGTTTCGAGCCACCGCGGGACGTCACAACAAACTTTTAGAAGTGACACAAGATTCCCAGAAATTCAATAATTTATTTAAACTTTAAATGAATTATATACAGTATACCACAGACACAATAAGGATTCTGACTTTATTCAAATTATACTGGATTACCCTGTAGTTTATCAAATTTATGAGACAAAATTCATTGGTACTGTGATACTATAATTATTTTAATGTTTTCTTCTAGTTATCGATAGAAAGCTATTTCGATAGAAGTCACGGAATGATTGTGGAATTTGATGAAGATGGAAAAATAATTAATTCTCTTCACTCACCAGATGGGAAAAGCTCGTTATTTTCTGAAGTACTAGAGTATAATGGATATTTATACGTTGGATCGTACGTAAATCCGGTCATAATTAAAGTAAAACAGACATAATATTATTCGAAGGTGATGAATGTCATCCAGTTTGTTATACCGTAAAATCATTGTTAGAAAATAAAATTGTTTTTAAATTTTTCCAATATTAGGTCGTGGTTGCTTGCTTTTCTCTTTACAATATGTATTTTCTTAGCATAAGTTTGCCGTTGAGAACAGATCACACAGGTACAATTTTAGTGGAAAAAGGCAGATTTATTGATAGGAAAGGATATGCATTTCGGGCTTAATACTCCTCTTCAGTCCTATTATAACAGATTTATCGGCAAAAATTATTACAGATCTACATATTTACAAAATGTATTGAAATATTTAGGATACGCGTATAAAGGTTTACACAATTAAATTTAATTACCTGAGATTATAGTGAAGATTAGGATAACACAACTCGTGAGAAGACACGGGTGAAAAAAGCAAGAAAAGTGGAGCTAAAAAAATTTTGGCTCCGATTTTCCAATATTGTCTACATTTTATTTCGTATATTTAATTTTTTTTTATTTTACTTAAATTAGTATTAAAAATTACTGTAAAATTCTTAGCTGAGTGTTCCTATTATTTACGAATGTCTTAATGAGCTACGGGTAATCAAAATTTATGTATATATACAGTACTCTAATTAACAATGTTTTTCCTACGGTTCTCAATAGTTCTAGAAAAAAGAAATTCTAAACTTATTAACTAACGCTACGTCACTTAGGCACTTAAATCGTCCCAATTGCTGCAGCTTCATCAGAATCAACATTTAAATCGCCTAAAAATCAAGTAAATAAAATCTGCATGCAAATTAATTTAATAAAAATTATTATATTTGCGGCTATTGACAAAGATCGTGAGCAACAAATGATGTGGAGTATTTTTGGATGAAGGGATTTAAGAATTTCACCAGAATGTAGGAGGCGCGGTCCGTGATGAAAAGAAATCTGTTCACAGTTTTTGCACGTCATAAGATTCTCGATAGGGGAAAATATTTACTACAGATAATAGCCACATAAAAGGCTGAAAAGTATCAAATGCAAAACAGAGAGTTCGAGATCAAGTTTCCTACTATTATGTTAACAGTGGATCTCCCGCAAAGATCTGCAGTGTCATCCACAGAAAGCCGAAAACAAAATTCTCCTAAATTTAACCATACACTCTCCAGTTCCAAGAATAACAGCGAAGATGGCAGTTACTACGAAAAAGTTTAATTTACAAATAAACTCTGCAGTATGTCGGCTCCAAGTAGTATTTTCGTTGATTAGCTTCGCTTGGAACATTATCATTTGTTTACGAGTATTTCTGCAAAAATTCCCTAAAAGCCGCGCTGTTTGATTTATTAAAAGGAATATTTGCAGCTAGCAAAGCATTACCCATATTTTTTGAGAACTCATTCAGCGTGTTGTTATCAGTTTCCATTTTGCACAAAAATGGTTGGAGAGAAGGTTTTCCGTATAATGTTTGTTCTCTGTGCCTCTAATGTGCAATTAAGTGTTATTTTTCACATTTCACCTATAATAAAAAGTGTTTTATAACGTTAGTGGGGGAAGTTACCATAGCTAAGCAATATATCATAATATGTGAAAAAGCTTCGAAAACATTGCAGGATATTTGTCAGACATTTGTTTAACTGTGCTTCATCGGAAAACGCTATATTTTTACTGATAAGATAATAAGCAACTAAAATTTCCTATCTTTCGTAAGTAGCCCAACACAAGGGTAAGAAGCCAGTTGTATGGAATAGTAAGCAGTCAACAATGAATAATATTTTATAGTGTTACATGATGCACAGTAATTAATGCCAAGTCTACCAACTTTAAGACATTACTAAAAGCATATTTCACAGCGCTTTATTAAACCCTCTGCCATTACATTTGCATTTTCCGTAAACTTCAGAATGCAAATAAACGGCATATAAATGTTTTCACACGCACTTTCTATAGCAATCCTCGCCGGCTCTAAAAACTTTATGAAATCATTTTTACGTACCATGCATTCAATTCAATTATATATACACCGAATACATTGTGGCATCGTACCCAAACGTCATAGAAAGATGTCATCATTGCTGTGTACTCCTCAAACTGGCTCATTAGAAACAAGGTCCTACCATTCTTCGTTATTCGAGCCAGCGTAAAAGTACGATGGATGTTAACCACGATTGTAAAGGAGACAACTTGTTAGATTATTTTACTTTAGCATTGTTTCTGAAGTGCCTTACATAAAAAAGTGCACACTAAAGCCTCGGTTCTACGTTTCTGAAGGGATTACGTGAAAGAATGAATAACTAGAAACTTTATAAATCGCTTATTTTTATCCAATTCTATTTAAATTTTATATTTTTTATAGTTTTAATTTGTATATTTTTTCTTATTAAACTTTATACCTATCAATTGATCGATGCAGTTTGTTAGACGGGGAATAGTCGTTTATAAAGCAGTATACTCCTCATAAATGTAAAAATAAACATTTAATAGCTATTTTATCGGAAGATATTTGCATAATTATTAATTTATACTGCTAAATTTAATGTAAGATGTGTTTACAAATGTAAATGAACATATTAAATTCCAATATTTACCTGTCATTTTTTAAATTTTTTCTTAATTCTCTTCCATTTTCATATAAAATACTTAAAGATAAATTAAGCTATAATTTAAACATAGATTTATTATATTTTTTCTGGTAATACAATTAAATTCTAATTTTAATGCAAAAAATAGTGTGCGACGAAAATACAGTCACTTCGAAAATTACAAAAAAATTATATAACTTATAAACTGAAGTCTATCCGTCACGTTCTATTTTATAAACAATTTAAAAATTGAGGTTATTAAATTTAATTTATTGTGGTTTCTCTCCGTGATGAACTTCTTATTTACTGTACACAATTTTTTGTTATATGCCCAATGTTACTGGAACCATACTTGTTGTTTCTGGATGTCATAATATGTAATTGTGGAGGAATGTACAGTAATGTTGCAATATACACAAGCAGCATTGTGCATTAATAGTTTTTCTTAACTTTTCCTCATGCACAAACAAGTAAGGTCTGAAAATTGTGTCCAATAATCCCACATCATACTATAAATTTTTACCAAAATTATTGCCTACACTTTAGTATTATAACTTCAAATGTAGCTATGAGTTTGAATGTCTTTCAAATGGAGACTTTTAAATAACGGTTCTCAAAACATTTTGTGAAGTAATTTATGATTATTGTTAAGATTTTAAGTTTTAACAATTATTTTATAAAAAAGAAAAATACTTTTTAGTTTTAAATTAAATAATAACAGTTGAAAGTTATTATTCTTTTAACTTTGTACAAAAATGTGATATTAAGACAAAATTTTGATTATAATGGCATTAACCTTTAATAAATATGGATTATTCCATTCTATTATAAGTATTGTGTCTATCTTTGCATACAAATAGCGCTTTCAGGACAATGTTTTGAGAACCAATGTTCACTATATAAAAAAAGCATTGCTAATTCAAAATACTAACATTATCTTTAGTTTACCTTATAGATTGAATGATCCAATAATATACATACAGTGGAACGAGTGTTTCGCATAACGAGCAAATGAAAGTTTTAATAAATGACTCGCTTAACGAGCGAAGTTTTGCATAACGAGTGACGAGGAGGGGAAGTCATGGATTGTGCGCATGCTCCATCATGCTATTATCTATGATTTTTTGTTTTCTGCAAATCGAATTCGCATTCCAGGTTAGTTCATTCCGTGCTAGAAGAAAAGATGACGATTCACGCTCCTTAACAACGTATATTGTATAATTTTCTTTCAATAAATGCTATACGTAAAATACAATATTTACTCGCCTATAAGACTATCTCGCATATAGGACGAGGTGTGACTTTAAAGATCGAAAATAGATTTATTAATACAATTCTAATTTTATTTCGTTTAATCAGAAATAAATTATCATCAAATGCGCGTATTAAGGCAAACAGCCACGTTTTCTTTATCACCTTTTGACTACTCGGACTCTCCCGTGACAAGAAAGGGTTTATTTTTAATGATTCAGAATATACAAATATTCGTTAAAAATACCAATTTAACAAATATGAAATAACTACATTTATAATCATTATTAAGTGACAGCAATCTTTTTAAAAGCGACATTCATCTTGACATCGATAGCACTCTGCTTTAATGGTGGCGTGAACTATACACGGTTCACAGAAATTATTGCAATAACGCATATAGGATTACCTTGGTTTTTAAAGCAGTGAAAAATGAATAAAAATCTCATCTTATACGTAAGAATATAGGTATTTGAGTATTTTTTAGGCATGGAATGCATTACTATATTTTACGTTAATTTCTATGAGAAAATTGTTTAGTTTAACGAGTGTTTCGCATTACGAGTAAGTTCTGGAACGAATTATGCTCGTTAAGCAAAGTTCCACTGTATATATATAAGTTATATATATATACATATTTGAAATAAAAAACTGTCAAACAATTATTATTGTATGACTAAATAGTTGTAAAGCTTGGAAATTTATATGCTTATGTAGCAATTCATTTGAATAACACTAAGTAACTTCCAACGTGGACTTCACATACTTTTTTGAAAAATTGTACAGTAACAGTAACAAAATTTCTTAATTGTAGAAAAATTATAATTAAAAGTAATTGTAATTATAGTGAAACTGTAATTAAAGAGTGCTTTTAATATTTGAAAGTCTTTGTTATAACGGCATTATATTCTGTAATCGGCAAGTTACTGACGATTATAAATTGTTGTATGCCTGTACTGTCACGAAATTTTTTTGAGTTCATTTCCTGTAATAGTAAATTCAGCAGTGTAATTTACTAAAGCTGTATAAAGCTTCTTTATAGAGCTTGTAGTAATAAATTACTGTACTGTATCCACCTTCTTCTTTCCATGTCAGAGAAAAACCCTAACTTGGAATTTCATAAACTCAGACAACTTTCATCCCCTTTTATTCCGAGTAAGCAGGGGGTTTCTTGTAGTTTAAAATTTAATAAACTTTAATTATTCTATAAAGAATTTCAAGGTAATAATTATAGAANCATAAACTATAGAATCTCATTGATTAAAGGTAGGTTTATATAAATTTTGTTT